GACAGATGTTCATTGAGCACCTACTAGATGTTAGGGCCGTGAGTGTAAAGTCCCTGTCCCCCTTGGAATGCAGATTAGAGCAGTGGCAGAGACAATGAGCATGTCAGCAAGACAGTGGCAGGGCATGAAGAGGGCGTGTGGCTGCTGAGGGTGATGAGGTTGGGTGGAGACTTCTCAGAGGAGGTGACCATGATGCTAAGAAGCTCAGCCCTTGAAGTGGGAACAGCATATGCAAAGGCCCTGAGGCGGAGTGTCCTGATGTCACTCATTGTGTGTCTAAGGAGCAGCAGGAGCCAGTCAGGTCAGAGCAGAGTGAGCCAGGGCAGGGCAGAGGGAGATGGGGTGTCAGGGCGGGGCCCTGCAGCCAAGCAAGGGCTTCAAAGTTTGTGCTCAGAGAGGCCGGGAGCCAGGGCAGGGTTTTGCGCTGGGGAGGGAGGTGGTCTCGCTGATGTTTTTAACTGCTCGCTGCTGCTGCAGGGAGGGTGGTTTGGAGGGGCCAGGGCAGACCCAGGAGGCTGATGGGGAGGCTCCTGGTCATCTGGTGGAGGACCTCCAGGTTCAGAGACAGGGAGGGGTTTGCCGAAGACCGCAGAGCCAGTCAGTGCTGGGACTGGAGTTCAAATGCAGGTCTCCCGGCTTTGTTGTCTTGTTTGCTGCTTTTACTGCATGAGAGCCCCTGTTTCCTGACACTCCGTTTCTGGGGGAGGAGAGGGGGCTGCATAGGTGGGGTGTGGTGAGTTCTATCAGCATCTCTCCTCTTAGAGAAGGAGAACCTACTGCTGATTCCAGTCATTGCCTGTAAGGTCAGGCTGCATGGTCTGGAAGTTCACCTGGGTGTCTAACCTCAGTTATTCATACTGTGTGCAACTCAAGTCCATTTCATCCTGGGTTGCCTCTTTTCAAGTAGGCACATATTTTCTGAGGCCCCAGGACTCAGTCAACTGGAGATCCCAGTTCAGGAGATCTGAGCAGGCTTCGGATTTCTCATTGGTATGACAGGTGGGGGCTGGGAGTGACACCGCCCAGAGTTCCTTGAGGCCTGACCTTCCTGGTCCTGGGACTGGGAGGATTGAGAGTGGCGGGGCTGGACACTGCAGGCTGTGTTCTATGGATGGGTAGGAGTTGGCCGGGGAGGGAGGGAGGACGGCATTCGTGGAGGGGCTCTCAGCAGTGGTGAGGAGAGCAGCCTGGCCAGGTGCGGGAGGGGAGCCCACTCACCCCAGCTGCAAGCTGTGCCCAGAGGCCTTGCCCAAGGCCAGGTTCACGGCCGGCTCTGGATCCCCTCCGTGGCAGGAGTCTTTCTGCCTGACCAGGCCTGAGGGGGCCCAGCCCCACCCTATGTGGTGCAGGCCAGGGCTGGGCTTGGTGTGGGTGTTTTGGAGTTAGGTGATGAACCCTACCTGAGCCCTAACCGTGGCAATGGGCAAGGAGAGAAGGATGGGGCCATCCAGCCAATCTCAGCCCCACGGGAGGGCCTTCTGCTGGCTCCAGACCCAGGCGTTGGCGGAGAAGGAGGGAACATGGGTCAGGGGAGGGAAAGGTGGTCAGAGAAGGGAGGCAGTGACAGTCAGAGGGTGGTGGTTGGGGTGGAGAGGCTGGGATAGCCCAGAGTTTCCTGACAGCCAGGCTTCCGGGAACCTCTGCCTTCTCTAGGCCTGAGGGGAGCTCTCAGGCTGGGCAAGGAGCAGGGTCCTGCAACTGGGGGCCCGGTGGGTTTGGTGCATATGGCCATGTCTGTTGTGATGGGGGCAAATTGGCACCACGGGCTTTGAGCTGTTGCAGGGATAGCACCCAGAGGGAGAAGAACGAGGAACGGGGTGTATACCTGTGTGTGTGGTGGGTTGGGGGTATTACACTCTAGGGTGCACCCCAGCCCCCACGGGCACGGTCCCACCTGCTGCTTTGTCCTTGACTTGGTGTGCACGTGGTTTGAATGTGTCAGCATGCTGGTGATCCTGCTGAACTGCGTGACACTTGGCATGTACCAGCCGTGCGACGACATGGACTGCCTGTCTGACCGCTGCAAGATCCTGCAGGTGAGCCGGCTGCCCCGCCCCACTGCCCGCCACGCCCCGGCCAGCCCCACCCCACCCCACCCCACCCCACCCCACCCCACCCCCATCCACCAGGACCCGGCCTATGCCCCGCCCACTCCACGCCCCGCCCACTCCACGCCCCGCCCCATGTCCTGGCTTTTGTCCCGCCCGCTCCACGCCTCGCCCCATGCCCCGCCCCTGCTCCGTGCCCTTCCGCATCCTGCGCTGCCCTATCAAGCGCGTTGCCACACTCAGCCACCACCAGCTGCCCTCACTTGGCTGACCCTTCCTCACTCCCAGCTGGTCTTCCTATTATCCTTCGGATCCTCTCTCCCTTTTATCTCTCCTCTCCAGCTTGGGGCCTCTGCCTTAGTCCAGGCCTCAATCTTCTCCCACCCAGGTGCTCTCACCAGCTTTCTCCTGCACCCCCTTCACACATACCTGCAAAGCACAGTGACCCCGACTCTCCTCTGCCTACAACCTGCACTTCCTCCCCCGTGCTCTTGGACTAGAGGCCGAGTTCACACCCAGCCCTAGACGCCCTTTAGGAGTGGGCCTCTGGTTTCACATTCTGTTATCTCCTGAGGTCCTGGGGGTAGGGCTTGACCTTTGGTACCTGACATAACCCCGTGCAGAGCATGTATACGGGTAGCACAGATGTTAGGGCTGTACCCATTTTAGAGATGTGGAAACACTCAGTGTCTCTCCCTGGGAAAGCCAGATTCCTCCCGGGAGGAATTGCTTTCTGCCTCTTGGGTTTCTATAGGACTCAGTAACTCCCAGGCAGCACTGGGCCAGAGTCTCCCGGAACACTTGGCAAAAATCCAGACCCCTGACCCTATCTCAGACCTGCTGAAGCAGAATCTCTGGGTGGGTCTGGGGTCCGAGTGGGTAACAAGCTCCTCAGCAGCCCCGGGCCCCAGGCCCGGTTACCCTCATGGTGAGTTCACTGAACAGGCACCTCTGTGTCCTCACCACTGGCCTAGCCCTGGCACACAGTAGGTGTGTGGCACCTGTTTGTTGAATTGAGTTGACTGCAGCCCTCACTAATCCTGGAAACAGGAATTCCACCCACGCCCCGCCCTCAGGAAGCATAATGTCACCTGAGCCTCCTTTGTGGGCAGAGGAAGGCAACACCCAAGCCTGTACCCGGGGGCTACTTTGAGACAGCTCCTTCTGTGGGGGCTTTGAGGTCAGATCCACTGGAGTTTCAGTCCTGGTTCTGCCACTTACCTGCTGTGTTACCTGTGGGGCAAGTTGCTTAACCTCTGAGTCTCTGTTTTCTCATTTGTAAAATGGGACTATCCATGGGGTCCTTGGGAGAATTAGGGGTCCTTGGGAGAATGGGGGTCACGTGTGTAGCCAGTGCTTGGTAATTATTAGGGAGAATATGGGATGGCCCCTCACCCCACCCCTATCTGGGGCTCTTCTATCTGTTTCCAGGCTTAGGGAACAGATAGAATGGGCTGTATGACCTTGGGCAAATTCATTCCCCTCTCTCGGCCACAGTCTCCTCATCTGTGAAATGACTGCACTGGACCGGGATCACTGAGGTTCTCCTTCTGCCCAGGAGGAGTTTCCGGGTATTTCCCAGGCCCCTTGCATCCATGTGGTGTCCCCACCTCATACTGTGGCTGCAACCCCTGGGCCCTGCTCTGCAACCTCACCCTGTCCCTTGCTTCCCTCTTCCTGTCCCTGCAGGTCTTTGATGACTTCATCTTTATCTTCTTTGCCATGGAGATGGTGCTCAAGATGGTGGCCCTGGGGATTTTTGGCAAGAAGTGCTACCTCGGGGACACATGGAACCGCCTGGATTTCTTCATCGTCATGGCAGGGTAGGTAGCACCCGCCAGGCAGGTCCTAGCCTCGGGTGCACACCAGGAATAGTTGAGAGAATCCAGGGCTTCTTGCTGATGGCGATGAAGCTTCACGGTGATGCGTGGGACCCTCCTGGACCCCTGGGCTGGGAGGAATGATGGACAGACAGATGTTCTTTCCTCCCTTCCTAAGTTGTGCGTCCTCTAGCACTGCCAGCGGATACTGGGTGTGTTTATGCTAATTAACGATATGACCTTGAGAGGCCACTGACGCTCTCTGAGCTTTCATTTCCTCGTCTGAAAAGGGGAATAATAATAGTAGCTGCGTCAAAATGAGCACCCAATAAATGCTAGCTGTTAGGATTGCTATCCTGGATCACTCATCACGCCAGAGACCGAGCACAGACTCAAGCACTGTCTGACTCCAGACTGTGGTTATTTCTACAAGACACAAGTTGCCATCAGGGACAGGCCTGGTTACAGCTGAGCCCATCTGCAGTGTCTCGGACCCTGCTCTGGGCCTCGTGCCTGCTTTCCTGGGTCAAACCCATCCATGCATTTATCCACCTACCAGGGACTGAACAACTTGCTCCCCAGTGTTGGCGCCATCCTAGCTGCTGGGGGCAAGGAGGAGGGCAAACCAGACACAGGCCTTGTCCTTCCTACTCCTGTCTTGGGGAGGCACACACCTGCTATGCCAGTGGGTGTGCCTTCACACACTGGGACCAGAGCGCTGGGCAAAGCATGTGGTTTGCTGAGAGCATTTAACACAGGGGCCTGACTGAGCCAAGCTGGGGACTTGGGGCTTGAGGGCTTCCTGAGGAGGTGACACGGAGAGCTGAAGGATGAGGAGACAGTAATCATGCCCAGGGATGGGTCATTATTAGGGCAGAGGATAGAGAAAAAGGCTGGAGGCTGTAAGTGTGTGTGCGAGAGAGGATGTATGAGTGTGTTTGTCAGTGTATGTGTGTGACCTTGTGTGTAGAATGCTATTGAGGAGATGTGACCTTTTCGATTCGGTAGACTCACGGCCCTGGAGGATGGCATCCAGGGTTGAGCATCCATCCCACGTCTTTTTCACAGATACTGCTTCTGACAGTCGGCGTGTTCCTGTTTCATTAGGGTTTTACTTAAAAACATTCACATCCATCTTCTAAGCTTGCTTTGCCCTCTCCGCCTCCCTCTCCTTCTCTTCCCTCCCTCCCCTCCCTCCCTCCCGTCTCCCTTCCCCTTCCCTTCCTCCTTTCCCTTCCTTCCTTCCCTTCCCTTTCCCTTCCCTTCCCTTCCTTCCTTCCCTTCCCTTCCCTTCTTTCCCTTCCCCTTTCCCTTCCCTTTCCCTTCTCCTTCTCTCCTTCCTTCCTTCCTTCCTTCCTTCCTTCCTTCCTTCCTTTTTTGAGACAGGGTCTCATTCTGTCACCCAGGTTGGAGTGCAGTGATGCAATCACAGCTCACTCCAGCCTTGACTTCCCAGGCTCAAAGGATCCTCCCACCTCAGCCTCCTGAGTAGCTGGGACTGCAGGCATGTGCCTCCAACCCTGGCTAATTTTTCTTTTCTTTTTTCTTTTCTTTTCTATAGGGACAGGGTCTCACTATGTTGCCCAGGCTGGTCTTGAACTCCTAGGTTCAAGCAGTCCTCCCACCTCAGCCTCCCAAAGTGCTGGGATTACAGGTGCGAGCCACCGCACCTGGCCTCTAAGCATCTTCTCTCAATTGCTGTATTCAATTTTACAACCACATTGTCAACAGTCACTTAGACCTGAATGGAAGCTACCCTGGTTTCCTGTGGTTTCCTGAGCACTGTATCCTCCTCTTAGTCACGTTCTTCATTTTCATTCTTATTCTGGTTTGGCTGCAGAACATCCTTAAGTAGTTTTTTTTTTTTTTTTTTTTTTTTAAGAAAAGGTGTTTGGATAGTGTCATTTTTCAATCTTGCCTGTCCAGACATACATTCCTTTGATCTTTGAGTGTGGAGGACAATTATTTGTGATGTTCTAGAGTCAGAACCCTGCACACATCCTGCCATTCAAACCTACACTATAGTATTGCACATGAGTCCAGTACAGGGCCGGTTCCTGTTTCTTGGAAGATGATCTTCTTTTTCCTGACTAGAAGCTTGTGGGCTTTTCTCTTTACCTTCAGGATCAGACCTTTCTCTAGGGCAGATCTAAGTGGGACCTTAGAGAACTCAAGACTGGTGCTTTTGGCCAGGTGCAGTGGCTCACCTCTGTAATCCCAGCATTTTGAGAGGCTGAGGCAAGGATTCCTTGAGCCTAGGAGTTTGAGACCAGCCTGGGCAATATAAGTGAGACCCCATCTCTACAAAAAATAAAAAATTAGCTGGGTGTGGTGTACACTCCTGTAGTCCCAGCTACTCAGGAGGCTGAGGCTGGAGTATCCCTTGAGCCCAGGAGGTCGAGGCTGCAGTGAGCAGTGGTCGTGCCATTGCACTCTAGTCTTCAACAAAGCGAGACCCTGTCTAAAAAAAAAAAAAGAAAAGAAAAAAGATTCATGCTTTCCTTCATCTCAGAAGAAGGTTCTTCCATCTCTTCTTTGGCTATGGCCCATTATTCTCTGCTATCTCCTTCTGGAATTCACGTTATGTAGATAATTCTATCCTCTATCTTTTCTGCATGCCTTTGCCCTTTTCTTTCACAGATTTTGTCTGTAATATGAGAGAAATCTTTGACTTGGGCTTCTGAATCACAAGTGGGCTTTTCAGCAATGTCCTTTCTCCTATTTACTGCCCCTATGGAATAATTCATTTCCTCAGTGTCTTTTTAATTCTCAGGAATGCTTCTTGTTTTTGGATTTCTTGTTTTTCAGAGCACCTTGTGCCTGTTCTTGTTTTATGGATGCCTGTTCTTGTTTTATAAATACAATATTCACCTGAATCTCCTTATATACTAATTAGGCTTCTTAAAAGTCTTTTCATGATTCTGGACATAACCCTGTATCAAAGTATAATTTCTGAAAAGGTAAAAAAAAGTGACTCTTACACAAATCTTAGAATGAATGTATATGACAGATTTATCCAGCTCGTTAAGGAGTAGGGACTCAGCAGATGGCAATCAGCAGAATTAGGAAAACAGACATTGGAGAAAGAATGTAGGAAGAAAGTGAGACTGGAGTCAAAGCTGGTTAATGACCTACAGGGTAATAAACCATAACTTTTGGAGTTTTCTTTTGGGCAGAGATCACATACCTCTGCCAGATAAAAATCTACAAGTTAAAATGTAATTTCACAACATCCAGACCTTTAGTGAACAGGAAATTGTGAATCAAACAAAGGTATATTCCCCCTGGATAATGAAATAATCTTTAAATGGCCTGTTAAATTATGCTTCAAAATGACATTGTGAGAAATAGTGCCTTCCCTTTGCCATATTTCCAAGTTCTAGGATAATTTTTCCTAACTCTTGTTTCAGGGAAGTCATTTGTTCTGCTGGCTCCACTGTCTGACTCCCATGGGCACCCCCACGCTGCCCTTTTGACTTGAAGCATTCTGTATTGCTTAGCGATTCTTTCCTGTCTGCTCATATTTATAAATAAAGACGATGAGGCTCTAAGCTGAACAGAGTGAAGAGCTGCCTAGCTTCAGCTTCATGGCGAGCTCTCAGTTTGACATCTTCTCTTGGCCCTCGAGATAGGGGCTGAATGAGGCGAGGTCTGCAGGCCAGCATTCTTGGGAGATCAGGGAGGGCTGGGCATGGGGCCGACATGCAGTGTGTGCAGTAACACAGGGCCCCACGCTTGGGTCCATACTCTGCCGTCACTATTTGGAAATTCTTAATCATTTATGAACAAGGGGCCCTGCATCTTCACTTTGCACCAAGCCCCACCATGATGTAGGTGGTCCTGGCTGGGGGATAGATGCAAAGGAGACTTTTTTTGAGGCAGTTTCATTCTGTCACCCAGGCTGGAGTGCAGTGGTGCGATCACAGCTTACTGCAGTCTCGCCCTCCCTGGACTCAGGTGATCCTCCCACTTCAGCCTCCCAAGTAGCTGGGACTATGGGCACATGCCCCATGCCCGGCTAATTTTTTTTTTTTTTACTTTTTAATTTTTTTGTAGAGACAAGGTCTCACTATGTGACCTCCTGGGTTCAAGTGATCCTCTCACCTTGGCCTTTCGAAATGCTGGGATTATAGGTGTGAGCCACCATGCTCAGCTGACTTTTTTGCTAGAGTCATGAGCACTCTCACTGCCCAGCTATGTGCTGGATTTGGGAACTCAGGTGAACAGGACCACCCTGTGCTCGAGGTCGTTCCCATCCTTTGTCTCCAGGGACGGCGTGGGTGGAGAGGACAGGATGGGGAGTCACAACCCTGGCTCCAGAGCCCAGCCCTCCAGTTCCCCTCCCACCCAAGACCTGTCCCCAGAGCCGCCCACCCATCCCCTGCAGTCCCACCCGGGCATGGTGTTATAAATGTTCTGTTTCCCAAGTAACCAGCCTATTTCCTCCCTTCCTGTACCTCCCCTTCCCCAAATTAATTACTGGCTCTTTCTTCAAGCTGTGGAGGCAGACATACACCTCCGAGTTGGAAGGTTCCTTAGAGGTCACGGCCTTCATCTCCACATCTGGTGTAACCCTCATGGCAGATGTGTCTGATACGGGGGCCTGACTCTGTTCCCAGGCTGCCCCTGCAGGGAGTGCAGTGCCTCACCAGGCGGCTGGTCTCAGACTAGGACATCCGAATGCACTAGAAAGCTTTCTTTCACGGAGCTGAAACTGATCTTCCGGTGGCTCCCACCGGATGGTACCATTCATTCATTCATTCATTCATTCACTAAATCGACCTTTATTGAGCATCTACTACATGCCAGGCCTTGGACAGGGCAGTGGGGGCATGAAGATGAACCAGACATGCCCTTTGTGATTTCATGGAACTTTCAGTTTGGAAAACAGAAATAAAACACATCACCACAGCTAAAGTCTAAATTGGAATCCATGCTGTCATCAAGAAGTATAGAGGGCCATCAGGTCATGGAATGGGGCCCTGCTTTTGATTCGGGGGGGG